ATATTAAACATTTGCATACGGCATTATTTTGACTGGGACTTCCTTTAAATGTGTTTCCTTTCCAGCAAGTATATGTGAAAAGTGACCTCTTATCCATTTGCATACCTCCCTAGTGGTCATGTGAGATGGTTTTACGTCAAGTTGTCAATTATGATAACACACACAATAAGAACAGGCCAAGTGTTGATAGCCTATTTCCTGACTTTACTGAAAAGTTCTGTTTGAGAGTCCACTTGTATCTTTTTATTTTTTTTTAATCTCTTGGCCTCAAGTAATAATACTACCTATCCAAATAGTTTTAAAACTCCAGGCTCTTCCTTGCTCCTTCCCACTCTACAGTGGTCAGTCGTGTTTACATTTTCCACAATAAATGGCAAAAGGGGATTTCCACTAAGAGCTTAACAACTAAATGATGCATCTAAAAAAATCAACTTCCTACTTATCCTGTTTCTGAAAAAGGATATGTTTTATGGATAGGAAATTGCAATTTCAATGAAAAGAACTTTTTTTTGGTTTGTTTCAAGAATATACCTGATGATTTTGCAGTGATTTCTTCGTAAGTTAGCCCAGTGAAAGAGATCATAGCACTCAATCATCATGCATCATATGTATCATGCCCCTACCCAAGCACTAGTTGAAATCCATGCGATTATGATAAGTAATGCAAGGATTTTAAATGAGCAATAGCCCCTCAGCCATTAACTCTAATATTAGATAGCAGATACAGTTATGAGAAGATTATTTGAGAAAATGAATACAATGCTTCTATACTAAACTTGACTTTGCTTTACTTTGTCATTTCACAGAAGTCAAAAGTGACTTCCCATATACACTATCCAAAAGCTCAAAGCTGTCTTGAAAATTAAATAAATGTTCTCTGACATTTTGGAGAAGCGATCTTTTCTTTTTAAACAGGAAGCTTCTTCACTTCAATGTCTTTACTTCTAACTTGCAAGAATATAAAAGATATCTGTGTTTCTTCCCCCCCCTTATTGGGCAAGACTAATGCTAAGAATTTATGGTTAAATTATGATTTGAGTCTTAAAAATTAATGTAGATAATCAAGTTTTCCAGATGGTTTTTATGATGTCACTAAGCAGTCTACAATGTCAAAGATTCAAGGCCTACATTTAGCAGATTCATTATGAAGTAGACCAGTTCCATAAATGACCACACTCATTCATGTGACTTCTCTCATACTATCTATTAACACTACTCTAGTTGAATTATACTCTAAAAGGGTTACTTTATTTCCAATACACCATCTTTTTCGATATTATTTCCATTTACTTAGGGAGAACTATTGGGAGGGTACTGTTTCTCCTGCTAAAATTAACAGAATGTTCATATGAACTATTTAGGGAAGAGAGGAAAAAGAACATTTTGCCAAACTGATTTGAAGTCAGAGATAGTAGATCTTCCACTCTTCCAGAAAACTCCCAAACCATAAAAATACATTTCTTAGCAGAGACTAAAAGAGTTCAGTTTGCAAAAGCAGTATTCATTAGTTCTTCAAGCCACCACACCATCTTCCAAAAGGAAAGTTAAGAAGAAAACCGTTCCAATTGAAATTCTCATTGAAAGATTTGATTTAAACCAAGGCTTAATAGAAAACACATTAAATTAAGCAATGACCCTAGAGACAGTCTAGTTCCAATACTTAACAACACTCAAACACTTGTTAAAAGATGAAGGAAAACTTTATAGGAGAGTTCTAATCAACTTGCCATGAGCCATCTTTTACAGTTAATTGGAGCAGATCACTTTTAACAGCAAATTGCTAACATATTTACATACACGTGCATCTTTGTAAGTCATTCTTACTAATTATGTGACTTTTTTTCTGGAGACTGAAGGCAAATTACATATTTATAATAATATTGATGATTTTTTTCCCTTAGCTTGTAAATAGCTGGCATTTCAAGGCCATTAGGTAACAACCTTAATTGGCAATGACCATTGTAAGAAAGCTTGCACAGATTTGTAATTAATGTATGCACACCTACCAATGTAACAAGCTAACATGTTTAAGAGCATATTTTTCAAAGTATTTAGATATGAAAATGTAAATGTATTATTCTCACTGGAGATAAATGCTCTTATTCATTGTTAGATTTAGTGTTTCCCATCTCAATTCAAGAATCCCAGACATTCTGGGTGTTAGAAATTGATATAGTTCTGCCTAACTATAATTGTTTGGAAAGATTATTTATAAGAGAGTCAGAAGTATCCAACCAACTTAAATTTATTGTTAACCATAATTTATGTAGGTTACATTATAGTTCCTTTTAGGTAAAAATAGAACACTCGATAATATACGTCAATACTTTTCATAACCTGAAAGGATAAATCTTCATCAAGCCCCCTGCAATGAAGTAAAGAATGTACCTGTGACAATATTTATTCTTATGGGGTCAATGTATATTAAAGGGTATGGTGAATGTTTCAAAGACCTCTCTGAGGCTAAAACCACTGGCTCTCTAATTTTGAATTTCTCCCAGCTAATATAAAATGATTGATTGCCTTTTTTTTCATGTACCCCTTGATTTTCCTTTTCATTCATCATGATGTGCTTTAAACCAAATGCATTTAGAACCTGCCGTTAGAAGAGTGGTCTTTTTAAAATCTTTGTAAAGTAATGAAAGAACATAGTAAATCAATCTCATTTCTGCTGTCGGAAAAAAAAAATAAACCCTATTGTATTAAATCATTTAAATTATTTCTTTTTTCCCTACACAATAAACATTACAAGTTCATCTCTAAGATCCTTTTAAAAGTTAAGAGGTTAAAAATAGGCCCAATTAATTAGAGCCTTTTTAAACACACATTTATAAATGATACACAGAAGCTCATCTTCTGAATGCTTATTGTGAATTTTCATGAATTAGGTTTCTGAAATGCTTGCAACAGTACTAATTTTTCCTATTACATAGGGAGAAAATGATCTATATGTTATTTTAAATTAAACTGAATACATTATAAAGATGAAACTCATATAGTCTCCCTTTAAGGATCTATGTACACCATACATACAAGGGAAACCAACCATATTTAACTAATTAGCCCTATTGTGTAAATCCTCTATTTTAGGATGTTCACTCAATATGAGTGGTCTGTGATGAAAATATGTTTTGGAGATCAAAAATTAATAGATAAATATTTCAAAGTAAAAGCTGAGTTTCTGCAGTTTGGTGATATTCTAATAATAGTGCCTAAATTCTTACAATTTCATCCTGAAGAGATGATAAAAGAGACTTGCAGATTAATTAAGGACTGATTATCTGATCACAATCATGTGACACTGCTATGTGAGTCATAGGCAATGAACACAGCCAACAAGGAAACTGAGGAAATTAAGTTGGCATGTGGGTAACTTATAATTCTAAATACATGGAATCAGTATGACAAAGTTTTAAATGTGCTCGGGAGCAAGAGTTGAGACTGTGGAGGCACTTCATTATGAATTCAAAAATTAACTGGAAATAAAGAATGCAAATCCCATGACAAAAGTATTTCTGAAAATATGTGAAGTGATTTTGAAAAGAACAAGTTTTTAAATCTATAAACTCTGCATATGTTTAAAAATACAATGAACACATACATTTGTCAAATAGAACCATATTATAGTAATTATAACACATTTCATATTACAGCAATTTTAGAGGTGAAAAAAAGCAACATACCAGAGAATTATGCTGAAAAGCCAATGGCTGGTAAAACCACTAATTATTATTTGGTATTTTCATAACTGTGTACAGATGTTTTCATTTAGTTCTCACTGTTGTATTTTTTTCTTTCAAATTGGCAAAACGTCAAATATCTTGAATAAACTCTCATCTTTATTATTTTCTCTGAACTCTGCATGGGGTGACCTTTAATATATACAGTCTGCCACCTTGGCCTTCAACTGTACGGGACTGGAGAATTCCATATGTAACAAAGTTTAACTAGGTCAGAACAAGTACAGACAATGAAGGCCTAGTTGAAAATATAGTTGGCATGAGCACCAAATCATTCGTGTGTGTGTGTGTGTGTGTGTGTGCATGCACACACACACACACATAGATATGTGTATAAGTCAGTCAAAAGCACTTCTTTTTCAGAGATATTCTGAAATATTCTACTTTTCCCTTAGTAATATATCATATGCTATCAATGTCAAACTGCTCTGCTGTCAACATTCAAGAGCAACAAACACAAATATCATATAGTTAAGTCCTAACTTGTTTGGATTTATTACTATTACATTGTAACTAGGCAAAGTGTGATTTCTGTATTTATATGGCCCATGCTTTTGATTGTGGCTAATTTGTTTATAAGCCACCATTAATCCTGGCTGTATATTTTCACAGTTTGGGTAAACACTTCATTTGCATTAAATTTACAGCATTAATGAGATGCAAAATTTAAAATGCTACTTGAAACATAAATGATGTAAAAAAGCAGAAGAGGGAAAAAAACGTGTTTTTATCACGTCTCAAATCAGAAAACCAATTTAAACTTATTAAAGTAGGAACGATGATGTACTGAGAATTTGGTTTCATAACTCATCTTTTGCAAATAGAGTATAAAAATGAGGATCTTAACATCTGGAAAATATGAAATAACTCAGAACTCAAAATTTATACTGCTTATGCTTTAATTGGCTTTGGAATAATTTTTAACAGATTTGTCCTCTGTATGCTTTAAGCAAATACCAATCTGACCAAGAAAATTCACTTTACCTGAACCACTAAAAATTATTGATCCTACAATATATACTCCAAACATGAAAACAGATCATGTGCCAGTTTAAGGAATTTTGTTTAGAAGTATGAAACAAAAAAAAAATGAGAAAGCATTTTGGAATACGAAATAATATTTTTTTGTCTTAGTCTTCCCACAAAAAATACTAAATGCAGCAGAATCCCATTCTAATCCCAGATTTGAGTGGCAGCATGTAAAAAGGTATTGTTGCAAAAGCTTGGCTATATCATTACACCTATGTGAAACTTGCCCACCTGTTGCTGGTGTAGGAAGGATGGGTCTCTTGGGCTTAGTCCCACATATCGATTGGCTTGAGATGTGCCTGAGGCTGTGTAGGCTGATTAAGGAAGAACAAAAACAAAGATAAAAATTGTGAACTATCAGAAAGAACACCCTGTCCATGTATAAGAAACCCAGACAAGTGGGATTTGTAATTTAAAAAAAAAAGGTGTCTTTACATTTCTCTTATTTAGCTTAAGTGTGTTTTAACAACCGACAGAAGAGAAATGATGGTTGATTTCGAATCAACTGTCCAAAAAAAAAATCTATGCCAAGAAGCCAGATTCTACCATTTGTTGTGACCGTGCCACACTCACTTGTTCCATCTTCAGTGGGGCATATTCCTCAATAGATGGTTCATTCCCCTACCTAAAAAGGTTTTACCTGAAATCACTTAGCTAATGATGGGATCACCAGTAATGTTCAGTGGTACTAATACATGTGAAAACTGACTATGAATCTGTCAGGAAAAAATGAAAGCTTTTAATAATGGGATTTAAGCATGATGTGCTTGAAGATGTGGCATGGGAAGCTTTTCTTTAAAGGTAAAGGGAATCTGGCTGTTGTAATTACATACATGAAGAAGGGAATTAACTTTTATTGTGCCAGATTGCATGAAATAGCTCAGTATGGTATATCACATGAAAATCAGCTTAATTTTTAGGTAAAATTTGGTTTTAAGTAATTTTTTTAAAAAAATAATTGTTTTCCATACCCTCAAAAGCCAATTTCTTGCAGCCTTCCCAGGAAGGGAGGTTGGTGGCACTTTTTTTTTAAGATATGGCTCATAGACATTTAATATACATGTTGACTACTAATAAAAATTTCCAAATTTATACTTAAAATAAATGTCTTACCTGAGTTAGTTTTATCTGGTATATTTTTCTCTAAGTACTTTTAGTATAGAACAAACATATTACAGTTAATTTTCCCTTTTTCTTAAAGATTTCTTTTCAGGCTCTCAGAGTGAAAGTATGAATGTATCTTAATATTCCTAGCACTGAGCAATTACATTTTTCTATGTCACAATTACGATGAAAAGGAAATGTTTTTATTGTTGTTATTTCTATATAATGACTCATATTTAGAAGGTTTTAATCAAAGATATTTTATTTTCAAATGATACAGTAATATAAATTTTTTGTAATTTAAAATCATTAGCTTTATGATTATCAACCACTGATTTAGGGAAGACTAAATTATATTTCTTATAACATTTATATATTTATATAATGTTTATATTTGTAATTTTTCAGAATCAACAGAATCAGAAAGGTACCATAGATTAGTGGATAGGACACTAGTCTTTGAGCTTGCCTCTATCACGTATTGGCTGTGACACCCTGACCAAGTCATTTAACTTCTCAGGACTCCAGGCAACTCATTACTACTTAACTTACAGAGAAGATGCTAACGTGCATCTGAAGAAGCATCCAGGAATTACCCACATCTATAAATTCAGAGGTCTTATATCTATCTGTATCAGAATCAAATTATGTCCCATTAATTTACAATGCTCCCCAATAAAATAATTCAACCAAATGGGGATTTCACAAATACAGAATGTGGTTAATGCTTTTTTTTCAGTTCAACCACTTAAATAATTTTGAATGTGCATATAAGCAATTCTATTGTTTCTTGATTAAATTTTCCTGAACTAATTGTCCATGATTATGAGGCACTAGTTAGCACCTTTGAGAACTCCAAGGAAGATGAAGCTATTTCATGCTCTTTACTCATCCAAGCTTCTAGTGGTAGACAACATGCAGCATGGAATGATGGATAGCACATATCCCATTGTATATTAGTCCTACCCTGAAAATACCAGAAATGTACTTTTTCTTTTTCAGAAATATACTTTTGGATGGCCTTTATTCCTCTCCTTAATACTTAGAACTCCTCATAACCATCTTATTTTCAGTAACTTTGCTGACTTTATTATCAATGAAATAATTCATTTCTAGCTAGGCTTTGTATTTTATGAACATAGAACCACAATATAAACTAAATAAACTAAAACCACTTATAATAGTTTTTCTTATTCAGTGGCAAGGAATGGAAAGATACAGCCATTTTATAAGACCAAGAAAGCACTGAATCATAGCATAGTCAATTCAATATTTTTTTCTTTGCCATTTTAATGGCTGATTCAGATGACCTCATGGTCATGTAGTCATAAGGACAGTGTGAACCAAATTAATCATCAATATGGATGAAAACAAAGCAATAAAAATTAATAATTTTATATCTTATTTGGTCATAACCTAAAGTTAAGATCTAAATAACAACTGTTAAGTAACTGTGAGTGATAGAATATACTAGTTTGGGGCAGAAGGTTCTGGGATCATGTATTTAGGCATTAGGCCCTTAATACCATCATCACTGTTATATATAACTTTTAAAGGTGTCCCTGAACTTATATTTAAAATGCCTTTCTTCTGAACACTGATTCTATAGAATAGGTATCAGAGAAATGTGCACTTGAAAATTTAGGTCCTGTTGCTTTATCGAATATAATTTTCGTAGCTAACTTTGGCTATGTAAGAAGTTATACCCAAGTTTTACTAGACCTCTTCAATGTTTGCCTTTGTGGAAGCACTCACTAATGGAAGACCTCTAACAGCAAAAAGGTCAATCAACATTAATGACTATCCAAGCACACCCCAAGACTCCATGTATTCACTATCCACTGTAAGACCTTGTTGTTCTGAGAAACAAATTCTAAATCATATGTATGTTCAAGGTGCTCCCTCAGAATCCTTCTTGGTTTACTGCTTGCTACAAAGGAGCTTTCACCATTGTCAATTACAGAAAAGGGACAAATGAATAATGCTCTTTCAGACAAATGATGTCCTTTTATCTCATCTGGAGTGAGGGCCAGAAGTGCTAAAACTTCTCTATATTTTCACGTAGGAATTACTATAGCATTGGGACAACGCTGATTAGGGAAAAAAGGATAGTCCTTGAAATTAAGGAAGATATGCAGTTACAGGGGAGCACATTCATAACTTTTGCTTGAATGATAGGATCCCTTTCTCTGATTTCTACAGCACTGACTTATGGTCTCCAAGTCACTGAAGAGCTGGTATTCTGGATGGAACCAGTTGAAAATGAACTTGCTGTCTATTTCTGAGCTCATCACATGGAAAAAAATAAGTCAAGCATATGGTTATAAAATTTATGAGTTACATAAATTTAGCGGCTATATTTTTTGTCATTTCAAAGGCCAGTCATGCTAAACAATATGCCATTTGATGTACCATGATAGGCAATCAAAGGGTTAAAAAGCAAACAAAACAAAAAAAGACAGATAATAAAAGTGCAGGTAGCTTACTTGTGCCTAATACAATGGACTTAAATTTCATTTTCCTGTTCTCCACATTGTGTGTGTGGTTTTGTTTTTTTTTTTTTTTTCCTAATAGTGGCATAAGCTGTTGTTATGTAAGCATGCAATTCTCTTAGCGTGGCACTGACTCAGTCTGCTATAGTGAAGGGGCTTTTAACTGCTCTATAAAAACTCACTGAGTAACAATGATCTACCTTCTTGGGGGTGATAGAAAAACCTTTTAGGCTGAGTTATGATACTCAGTGCTAGTTCAATGTTCACCTTGAACCAACAGGCATGTTTTGTTATGTTTTTTTATTGATAGATGTTTTCTCAAATAAATATGCTTCTCCCTATTCAAAACTGGTTGAGATGTCACAATGATGATTCACATGACATGAGACACTGTCTAATATTTTATAAGGGAGAGTACTTATGGCCAGATCACAAGCCTGTTAGTTCCACAAATGAGAAACCTCCATCTGATCAGGTAACTGGAAAAATTGCCGTGTTTTCCACCTTGGATCAGAAATCCAATTGAACCTTCTTCGATGGACATTTCTCATTTCCTACAGAAATACTTACTGGTTGCTGTAGGTGAAGCTGCCTCACCTTCAGTGGATGTAGTGATGGGTTTAGTATCTGTCATGGTCAGGGTCACAGGTCGCACTGCACTGTGATGGGGAGAGGGTGCCAAAACTGGAGTGAAATGGCCGGGCACTTTCCCTACTACTTGACCACTGCTGTTGGGCTACAAAACAAAAACAGAACACGCCGCATGAAATAATCCAGCCTGTCTAAATCATAAGTCCATTTAGCACACTCTTCCTTCACGGACACTGCTCATTGTGTGGAACAGCCATAGAGGCCCTTCGCTCAAGTTAAGAGTCAGAGCACCTAATAAGTGGTTAGTAGTAATAAGAAGCAGCAGCACTTAAGAGAAGGTTTTCATCTTCAAACCACTTTGTATACATTAATTAATCTTTACAACACCCTGGAGAGGCAGGTAGACATCATTATTCTCATTTAACAGGCCAGAAAACTCAAGTGGAGGGTAAATGATTTGCCCAAGGACAAAATGGAAGTCAGCACCGAGCTAGAACTAGAACCCAGTACTCTCACTTTGAGCCCTGGGCTCAACATAATGAGTTTGCATTTGATCTTCTGGATGAAATTTTCACCAAGCCTTTTTTCAGACTCTGATGCTAATTACCTAAGTGATGATGGGGATATCTCGTTGGTACAAAGGCTCTACTCCAAGGAACACAGTTTCCATGAGTTTTTCTTCATGCTCATTTTGTCATATCACACAAACACATTCATCCACACAAATAACAGACAGCCTCTAAGACACAATTGTTATGCTATTGGGATCTCCTAATATAAGAATAGAGAATGAGGCGCAGGGCTTCCATAGTAGACTTTTGTGAAAGAAGTCAAAACAGGCACCACCTGGTCTACAAAACTGATGCTAAGGTACCGAAACGGGTCTGGCCTACAATCCACAAATGCAGCTTTAAAGACTGAAACTAAAAAGTGTTGCAGTAAAAGAGAGGACAATCAACTACACTATATATTATTTGGTTTGTTCTTATATTGATATGTGTAGATATTTACACAAAACATTTATTAACATTTGTGGGAATTACCCAAGTAAATCCCCTGTGCTGTGATAGAAGAGATATTATTATGTGTGCTTTAGCCCCTGGGTACAAAAATAGTTTCCGTGTTAGGAGGCAAAATCCTTAGGGACACACTGATACACTATAATACCAGAACATGTTTTTCTGGATAGAGAATGCTATTTTTGTTCATATCCAAGATAGAATTCTCTACAGCATTAAATCCCTAACAATTTTATAGGATTTTATTCTCTACAAACACTTAGCTTTTCTAATCTAAAATTAACAAAAGAAAGAGGCAATCCGTATTAGCAGATTTATCTAGCTACCTATACATATAAGCTACATATAGATTATTTTATCCCTGAAAAAAAGATGAAAATCTAATAATGTTCAAATATTTTTTACTTATAGCCTTAGCTGAGTCTTAAGTTAGGCTCCTCAGCTGTTGTATAATTTTTTTTCCTTGAAAATAAAATGAGATACTTGAATATCCTGACTGTTTATCACACATGATTTGGAGTATTTAACATTATGTCAGGAAAATTGCCCACCGTTTTTTCCCCGTGGAAACCTATGAGACAGTTATATCTTTAAACTAATTTTACTTAAAATATTCCATTGAATAGCAAGACTGTCTCACTATAATCAGTACAGGGGTAATGGAATTAATCTCAAAATTGCTGTGAGGAGTACATGGCATCTCAGTTGCTTATCTTAACAATCTAAATTAGTATATTACTGAAGCATGTTGAGGAAGAACCACTTATTGTAGGAAAATGCTAACTGAGTAGCCATTCTTTTGATTCCACTTATGGTAGGAAAATGCTAACTAAGTAGCCATCCTTTTGATTCCATTTATCGTAGGAAAATGCTGAGTAGCCATTCTTTTGATTTCACTTGTTGTAGGAACATTAATTAATTAGAACTAATATCAGGAGATTCCTTCTGCAAACCCAGTTTGAACAGAAAAAAATTAGATGAAATATTCCTAATAGGTAGTTGTAGTTTGTTATAAACATGTGGAGTAAAATGCATGTTTCCATCCAAAAAGCAGAAGTCATTGGGTTAAAAGCACATCACTATGTAACCAACTTTTTCGAGCAATTGAACATGTTAGTGAGGTGTTTTTCATTTTCCCCTTAAAAAATAACAACAACCCAGAAAAAATGTTATTTTTATCCCTGATGCCAAGTTCTACAAGCAATTGTTCTCTATGCAGTAATCAAAGACCCAGACCCCTGTATTCAATAACACCTACCTGCAGAGTGACAATAATAGCAAGGAAATGCTGCGACAGACTATGGCAGTACAGTGTTCCATACTGCAAAGCTTTTCCCACTGGAACTGAATCACGTTCCAAGTTCAGTGACACACATTTACCTAATTTAAAGTTTACAAAAAGTGACAAAAGAAATAAATCTGAGCCAGCACAGGCAATGATATTCCATATTTTAGGGTCCAGAGGAAGGAGAAATATTGGTCTGTTTTCTGCTAGTTTAAAAGGATGAAGGTGTACCATAAAACTTTTAGCTTCTAAGGATGCTAATAGATGAACCTTCTCATTGTTGCTGCTAAAAAGAGAGTTGACTCCTCTCAGGAGAGAGTTGACACAGCATTTTGAAGGGATTATCCTACTCAGTACATTGGTTCCATTATACAGTACTAAAACCCTGAGAAAGCATTAAAAAAAAAACTGTGACAAGAGAGTAAGACACATCTCTTAGAAGCTAGATAGATCTTTACCTTGAAAATGGGAAGAAAAGCAGGGAACAATATAGGCAGATTATCGCCTAATCTGCCCTCTTAACATATAAAAAAATTGAAATGTAAGTAAAACAAGCACTGAATAATTAAAGAAATGCATAACACTAAGGGCCTGATTTTAATTTGCATAATTTTTCCCTTAATAGTGCCTAATTAAGACATCAGTTTTAAAAAAAAAATCCAATGGAACTCTAAGATTTTCCACACTGAATTAACATTAAGGACTTTTAATGGATGTCTTAATTAGACTTTGTTATTCATGGAAATTTTACACAAATTAAAATCAGGCCCTGTGTGCACTGTTCCCAGCTGAGTCTCAGCAAAATGCTCTGTGGAACTGAAAGACTTTTAAATCCATGCTTTGACAGCAAATTGTAGTCCTAAACTGATATACCACAATCCCACAGTTTTTATTAATTAGCATCAATATTACATCTAATAAAAATAATGTATAATTTGAATTTTTTTCATCTAAAGCTGAAACTGAAAATTTATCTTCAAATTTAAATTTCAAAAACTATTCAGCTAGTCCAGAATGTTAGTCCATAGGGTCCAATAATCACTGACTTTTTAAATAGCCCAAAGGAAAATTCATTTGTTGGTATTCAAAACACAACTTTCAGGCAAGCCCACAAATGAAAAACTGATATTTCCCTTTATTTCTTGTGCTTACGTTAAACTGATTTCCTTTTAATTAAAGGATTAAAAAAAAAACTAAAAGCTTATTTCCATACCTTTTATTATCATTTTAACAACAGTGTTAACACAAAAGCTCCTAAATCTCACCAAATTCACAGAAATGTGCCATATACAGTTGACAAGAAACTTTGAAGCACAAGGAGGAAAATCAGACCACACCATACAGATTACATTACACTCACACTGGAAATATTAGCATTATTGACAAACAACTTTGCTGAAAGTCTGTCCTACAGAAGAGATCACATAACATTTATTATATGCCTATTTGATTGCAAAAAAAATGGAAACAAACAAAAACCTTTCTTACATCAAATCAAGAACCACACTGCCTTGTGATAATGCAGAAATGCATCTGAATCACTGTTGCTGTTTGCCCTTCTTTCTCAAAGAGGACCAGATTATCAGGGAGGTGATGCCATGACATGTAAGTGAATTAGATTTAAGTGAGGGAGGACTGTGGACCATCTGAAGCACTAGACTTGCAGAGAATCCCTAAAGTTACTATCAAATGTTTACAAAAGAATAAGTTTGTAGCTATGTCACCCATTATTAAGTACAGTCATGTCTGTGCAAAGAATTAAGTATTCCTCAAACATGGAAAATATTTACACTATGAAAGCTTATTTTAATTCCTAATAGCTTGTCTATAAATACAACTTTGTTCTTTTTGTATATTTATTTGAACACATACTTTGCTACTCCCTGACTCTGTGTCATATACCAGGTGTTTCAAAGCTGTGAACTGTTCTAAGCCTTTTTTGCTAATGTGGTCCCTGCTTAGACTCCCCAGTCAATGAAAATAAGAGAAATTAAACAAGTTCATAACAAATTTTCACTTGTAAAGAAATTCTCTTACTAATTGCTACTCAACCAGATTCAAGGCAGAAATGTAATGAATCACTGAGAACCTTGCTGAGTTTAGAGTTCAAAAGTTAATGCCACGGCAGTAATTACAGTTACCCTAACAATGAGCATCACAGAAGATAGAAAAGGGAACATGACATTATCTGCTTCATTTCAATATGGTGTTCTCATGACATTTCTCTGTCCCCCCCCCCATCCTCTTTACCTGGCTTGTCTGTGGACTAGATGGGTCATAAGAAGGTACATAATTCTTCAGAGTATCCTGAGGATTCAGGTGAGGAGGATATCTGATTGTAGGATGAGAAAAGTAGCTTGTTGGGGCTGGAGGAAGTATAGCTTGTGCAGGGAATGGCAATGGCGACGGTGACGTTCTGGTTGAGATGACTGGGGGGAAAAAAAGAAAAAAATTGATTAAGCTTTAGCTTTCTGTTCCTAGTTTCAAATATGAAATCAAAAAACATGCTGCAAGATGATGAGTCAGGATTTTTTAAGACAAACTAAATGCTCTTAAAATATTTGCCCCTCAATTCTTTCTTTTTGTCTGATCTCAGCCAGTCTGCCTCTCCTCCCTTTTCCTGCTCTTCCTCTTCCTGTTCTTGCCGTCTGTGTGTCTCTCTGTGTCATTCTCTCTGGGTCTCTGTCTTAATCTCTCTTTCTCTACATCTTTTTGTCTCTGTTTCTCTCTGTGTCTCTCTTTATCTCTCTGTGTGTCTCTATCTCTCTGTGTGTCTCTATCTCTCTCTATGCTCTTTCTCCTGACCCCTCCAAACTAACAATTCTGTTTCCATAGATCCATAAGTATTGAAAAAACTTTTCATTTCTTATGTGTTATGCCATTGCTTGATATAGTGTTTCTTTAAACAAAGCAATGATTTCCCATCAGAGTAGATATTTGCTTTTGTCTCATGATTTTGATCAATTGAAAACATTTTAAAGAAAAAAGGACTCACAAAATTTTCATAACAGGTTCATAACAGAAACAAATCTCACTGTAAGTAAATGTAGTGAATTTTTCTTTACTATGTAATCCTGTACCTGCCTATGGATGTGGGAAGGGGAAGCCAATAATTAGGAAGCAATAATGTCAGGAATAATTAGTTGACCATTGTGTAAATGCTAATGAATGTTCAACCTCAGGGCCTGGGAAAACCTTCCTCCAAATGAAAATATTTCTTTCAAAACAAAAAGGGATCTCTCCTTTACATATTTTCTCTACACTCTTTTTTATTCCCTTCTTTCCACATTCTGTCACTGCAGACCAATACACGCAAAGATCTCATTGCTAATGCAACATTAAACACAGACTACATGAAATGCAAGCTTCAAGCTTTCAAAGCCATGTTAACTTGACCAAAAGTTTCCTACCATATAATTGATAATACTTACTATGTGGAAAATATTACATATAATTTATATAATATAGCATGTTTGTGTGGATATTTCATTACTTTAGTGCAATTTTTAACACAGGCATTATCTGAGATTTATACACTTAATTTTCTAATAATGTTAAAAAAAAACCCAAAAGATAGAGGCACCTTACTGTACCATAAATATCTTTACAATACAGAGGTAATAGCAATATAAGCAAAATCTTGACATAATTTTATGCACATTAAAAATACATCAAATAACTTCTTTTTGTTTACCTTTTTTCCAATATGCTAAGTTTTAAATTTAAAAGGTTGTGCACTAATTCTGAGCCAAAATATCTAGCAGCAGAAGATATATTCTTCCTATGTTCTTCAACTAAAGGACATACAGCATGACTTAATCAAAACTTCCTAAATATACACCAAAATTTACCTTTCAAATATAGCATTTGTTTCCCCAAAAGGAGAGTTTTTCATAACATATAAGAACTCATAACAAGGAAAATGCAGAATAAACTCAATTATAAGGTTCCCTTCTTTGAGTTTGATCAGATTTAGGAATCGCTTTTAGAAAAGAATAAAACCCCACAAATGAGATTTTTTCACCATCTTGGTACAGACGCAAGGGTTCAGTAAAGACAAGAAGAAGCATGTTGAAAAGAAAAGAGTACTAGATTTGAAATCAAGAAATTTGGTTTTCAAATCACACTTCCAACATTTGCTATACTGTGTGACCAACTAAGATCGAGGCCCTTAATAAAATATAACATAATAAGACTTACTATCCACTGCAGGGAATAATGGGATTTTGAGGTAGAGGGAAGCTTAAAGATAATTGGGTCTACCCTCTCCATTTTACAGATGAGGAAAGCAAGGCCCAGAAAGCTAACATGACTTACTCAAAAGCACATAGGTAGCTACATAGTAGAACTGGGATTTACACCCAGATTCTGCTACTCCAAAATATAGTTTCCTTTATTCTCCTTCACTCGTACCACCTTTTTAGAATTTTGAGGAAAGTGATGGTATAAATCTTAAAGTGCTATGTGTGTGAGTTGTAATTTATGGTTAATATTGCTAAATATCAACTCTTAATATCAGTGATAATCAATACTCTTAAGTACATAATTGTAATAATAAATACATCCTGCACTGATCTTGTCCAAAATTACAAAGTTGGCACTAAACTAATCACAGCAGTACACAGGCTTTGAATTGTTTTTCCAACTGTGGTGATGTGTTTTTATTAAGCAACCACATTCTCTTAACAGCTCCCCTGTGTGGCTAACAATAGGCAGACATCTGGTCAGATTTAGTGGGGCAGGTATTGTGTGAGGCTGTCCTTGTTCTCCTCAACTATGTTCAAGTTGGCCCAATCTGAGGTCATTTTCCAGGCAAGATCTCAAATCAGAAGCAAATATACTTTCTTACACAGAACTTATTTAAGTTCTGTTAAGAAGACAACATATCCACATTTATTATAGAGGGAAGCTGACGCTGGATTTTCAAAAGGCTCCGTAGGGGTTCTAGAAGGTCTCATCAAGCCAGATGAGCTTCTGGGATGGATTGGTGATAACGGACTGCATGTCTGTCACCTGGTGACCAGCTAAACACAGAGATTCTTCTCTAGAGAGCTGACCACCACCAGGTGTTGGTTTTTTTTTCTGCCGTGGCATTTTATAAAGACTGTCTAGTAATATGCAGATGGTGTAGAAGTTTTGTTAAAGAGCATGACTTGAGATCCCACTGGTAGTGCAGATAGGTAATGCCACAGATACAAGAATACCTGAGTTAAATTCAGCCCCAGATACTTAACCAAGCTACTTGACCCCAGGCAAGTCACTTAACTTCTGCCTTGTTTTCCTCATCTGTAAAATGGAAATAAAATAACATCTATCTCCTGGTTGTTGCTATGAGGATAAAATAAAATAATATTTGTAAAGTGCTTTGCAAACTTAAAGCGCTATATAAATGCTAGCTATCATTGCTTGTGGTAAGTATTAGTATAATACATACCTGGACAGATCTGTCTTTGCCTCTTACCTTTGAAAATACCTGCCCTCAAGAAACTTGTTCTAGACTCAAAGTCATGACAATGATAAACCTTAAATATGTCCCACTCAGAGCCTTATTCTAGAATCAAAGCCATGGCAATGATAAACCTTAAATATGTCCCACTCCGAGCCTTGCTACTGTATTTTCCTCTTGACTTAGAAGTTTAAATTTGTTAGTATTGACTGATTACTGCAAATCTATTAGTGTTAGAATTGCCTGGAGCAAACATGTATGTATAAATGTGTATACGTATATACATGCATTATATATGTGTGTGTGTGTGTGTGTGTGTGTATCTATATGTATATCACTTGTGGCTGGTACATATTTCTCTCTTTTTCTGTCTCGGACAGGCAATCAGAGTTAAGTGACTTGCCAAGGTTCACACAGCTAGTAAGTGTCAAGTGTCAATTCTGAAGACAGATTTGAACTCGAACCCTTCTGACTCCAGGGCCAATGCTCTATTCACTGGACCACCTAGCTGCCCTTTGGTATATATTTCTCTTAACTATAACTTTCTTCATTTTAGATAATATAAGTTCTCTTTCTCTTTTTAAGCCTAGGAGGAAATAGAAGACAATTTGACATCAACCAATTCAGATTTACACATACCACAAACTAAAAGTCGCATGTTGACATTTTTAAAGTCCATTGTGAATTTCAGTACTTCAAAGGACCCGTAATTTTATGGATGTGAAGTTCTTCTACCAACTCAGAATACAACCCTCTCTATAGCTTAATATAATATAGCTCCATATTCCCTAATAATTCTTGTAAGTTATTGTGGCAAAAGAAAAAAAAAACACCTATAATCAACTTGGTGAAAAGACTCTCCAAATTTAGGCTAGTCCTTGGGAAAATAGTTAGAGTTCATTCCTGGACTTGGATTGTTTTTTATATTAAGGGCAAAAAATCAGATTCTATATGTATTGAAAAAAAGGAAGGAACTATCCCTCTAGAAATTTACAGCAACTAAAGAACATGATAGTGTAATGTGTATGTGTGTGTGAGAGAGACAGAGAGAGAGAGAGAGAGAGAGAGAGAGAGAGAGAGAAATTGAGTATGAAAATTTCTCCCAGGCCTACAACGATATTCATATATAAAGAGAAGAGTCTGGAAATAATATGTATTGAATTCTAGCTGTGTGACTTTCTAATTCTATGAACCTGGGAAAACCACTTCCCCTCTAGTCCTCAGTTTCCTCATCTGTAAAATAACCTCTAAGGTCTTTTCTAAATCTAAATCCTATTATCCTGTGAACAAGCCAAATATATGTGTGTGTATGTGCTTATGTGTGTGTATACACACACACATATTCATTCATTCATTCATTCATTTGCCCTACTGATAAATATTCATTTATTTCTCATCTTTGCTAAAGTAATTGCCAATAGTCTGATGACTCGGCAAAGTAGATATATTGGTTTATTTTCTGTTTTAATGTGTAAACCCTAAATAATCATATAAATATGATTTAATAATCATTACCATATAATAATAATTCATTATGAAGCATAGAAGAATAATTAGTTGGAAAAAGAAGCATTGTGAGGAACAAAACACTCAAGAAAGAAAAAAAATCTTCATTTTTTGGTTCTGAACATAGGATCCTCCAATTTACATTGTTTCACTCTCAGATAAATGAACAGCAAATTTTACCCACAGAAATACTGTTTATGTGACTTCATGCCTTTGAAAGTACTCCAAACTCAGCAACCTACTCGATGACCCTTCTCCTTCCCTCAATAAAATATACAGGATTAGGACCCATTAGCAGGGTCATAGTGATTACAGCTTGTGCTCCATTGCTGTGGACTTGGGCCAGAAGCTAAAGAAACAAGCAACCTTCTCTAGGTAACTCCTCACCACTGTGTGCAACTCCTGCGATTCCGGGATGGTGGTGCTGAGGAAAAGTGCTCAATCTGGGTGAAGAGTCCTGCGGAGACGTAGGGCTAAACAATGGCTTTTCAGGCTTCTTCATAGCAGTAGGAGAAGACATATCTGCAAGGGTGAAAAATGGTTTTGGCAATGTTAAGCTACAGCCCAGAAATGAAAGTGCCAGAGGACAGACACTCTTGTCTAACATCCTACTCTTCTTTTATCCTTGATCCTTTTAAAACAGGTGCACCTCTAGTCATTTGAGTGGCTATCCTGTCACTTTAAAGTTTATGTAGCAGTTTTTGCTTCTCAATGAAGATGGCTTAAGGCTTAATTTGTTAAACGTGCTTTTTTCTCAGAAAGGTTAAAAAAAATGGTGACACAGTGGCCTTCTGGGTAAGACACAGAACTCTGTTTATTGATTCTCTGTGACTCAAATAAAGCCTTGCCCAGACATTCCCCACTAATTTAAATTTAAATGGTTTCAAGGAGTCTTTGTTTTCTAGGCCCCAGACCACACTGTTTATAAAATAGTGGCAAACAGAGTATAGATGTCATAAAGGATCTTTCAGGTTGGAAAAGAGAGAATTAATCGGTATCTTAAACTGTCATTTATACCATTTGTCTGACATCTTATATGATAACAACAATGGCTAACATTTATGAAGCACTTCTAGGTTTGCAAAGAGTAGTTATTATCTATTCCATTTATAATTTTATTTGATCCTCACAACAACCCTGTGAGGTAGGCACTGTTATTTTGCCTATTTTACAGATGGTAGAACCTGGGGTTGAACGAGGTTAACAGGATCAAGTCACCTAAAATGTCTGAGGCAAGATTTTAACTTAAATTTTCCTGATTCCAAGTACAGCACTGGTACCACTACCCTATCTCATAAGGAATTCAATATATTGATTTTGGTATAGTTTCTTTTTAAGCTGATAGAGACAATCATTATTAAAAGAATATCACTAAGGAAAGCTTTCTGGCACTGATGAAATCTATACCATTTGTATTTTATTTTAAGAATGCTTTAAAAATCAACTTTTTAAAATGATGAGATGGCTTCATAGATCTTTAGTTCCATGTCTTTATATCTAAAGAAAATAACTTTCATCTTAATAAAAAGCATTTAATAAAATTAACTATTTGATTTCAGCATTTTGTCACTCTGCTACCATATCATCTAATAGTTCAATGACACATATCACTGTTAAAAAAAAGATTTATCAGCTAAAAGTACTAGCCCTCAGTCACAGTTTTTGACTAATATAGTTAAGTTGATTATCACTGTTAAATTAGTCAGAAACAGCACACTTTTGAAACAGAAAATCAGGGAACTAATTCCATATATCTCTAGAAATAGGAAATAAGTTTTAAAAAAGAAGAAAATGGTCAATTAAAATACTGTCATTAGGATCCCTATAAAAATGAAGAAATATTTAATTTGCATAAATAGCTTTTAACATTAGGGTTAACTGCAGCTAATAGACCTTAAATAATGCTAAAAATTAACGTATGACTAATACATAATGAAATAAGGATTTAAAAATATATACATTTTTAATCTGATTGAGGGTGGCATGCTATACGATGTACAATCAAAAAAATCATAGACTTTTAAAACTGGAAGAGATGAGACATTGTAAATCATCCATTCCAACTGCCTTATTTTTATAGATGTTCTAATCACAGTTTCAATTAACCCCTACTAGAGTTCCTAGTTTGAAAATGACTTTCAGAAAAGGATGCTAGTGACTTTCTATTGCTGCTCTAATGCACTGTCTTTACAACTGTGTTTGAGTTCAAGTATGAGGTTTCAAATAAAATTAACATATGGTCGATCTGTTGCTAAGAAGTCTGCCACATAAATTATAAACTATAACTACAAATCACTTCAGAACAATTCAACACAAATGGTCTTTCCCATCTAGGATGAATGCACCTGGTGATGTGATCTTTGGAGAAGATCAACCAAATCAAGGCAGTGCCAATGGTGCTCATTATTTCAAGACTTTCATTACAACCAGCTGAATCCACAATAACGAGTTCTTTGGGGGGGAGGAAGGACACACAAACCATAGGTGTTTATTCAAAAGTTCATATTACACAGGTGATTATGCAGTTTTAGAGATGCTACCTAGGCATTTTCTTTGCTAAAATTATATAATTAGCTTTATGAAGTAATTAGGACAGCTTCATTTATTCTTTCTGTTCTCTCTCTTGCATGTACTGATTTAATGGTCCCTTCATGTTCTAAATACACCCAGGAATTACAGATGCAGAAAACAAGAAAGACTGAACAAAAACTATCTGCATGAGTTATGAATGTTACAAAGGGTCTCTCCTTCTTGATTAATAAAAACAGTGTGCAGTTTTCATTAAAAACACATGGGCTTCACTGAGGTCTATATTTTATAGGATTCACTTTAGAAGAAAATAAGTAATAGTATTATTAAGTTTAATTATATTTTATTTTCTTATAAAGATATAGCCTTGTTAAATGAAACAGGATAAAGTGAGGTTTGGAATTCGAGACATATTAGAATGACAAGTTAAAGGATGTAGGGAATGTAGGGGATTACTTCCTATTATAGTATAATAGTAGAAAAAAATTGTAACTTTTATTATAATTTTAAGTTATTAAGTACCTGGTTGCTTTCTATTATTGTCTTGTTTTCTGGTAAGCAGATTCTTGCTTCTCAAACTACGTTCTCATTCAAGTATGAGGAATGGAACAGAAAAAGAAATGTAGAATCACATAGTAAGGAAAGAATTATAAGAGCCAAGGAAAGATTTGTCTGATGTTTCCATAAGAGAGAGGCAGGCAATAAGAGAGACACAAAGGGATTGTTGTGGGGGCTTGAAACCAGAATGAGAAATTTAAATTTGATTTGGAAATTAAGCATGAGCCAATGAAAGAGAAATAGAATATGGCAGTGTCTCTAAAGTAGCTCCTTTCTTTCTCTATTCCTTTTCTTCAGTAAGTCCCCTATTCTAAGTCATCTCCTACCTGGATTGCTGCAACAGCCTTTACCTGCACCTCTTGCCTCCAAATCATCTTATTCTAACTTACCACACAGAGTTTCTAGTTTTGTGAACATCATTATGACTGCATCACTCCACAGTTCAAAAAAAAAATACAGAGGTTCTCTGTTACCTATTGTATCAAATCTTTGTCATTAAATATCATTTACCATTATTTCTGTACATTCTAGCCAAGATAATTTGCTTATAATACCTTAAAACAAACCATCTTGCTGGAAGCAAGCACATGCCATACCTTCTGATTAGAAGGACTATCTCAATACCTTGAAAATTTAGCTGACCACTCACTCTTTGTAGGAAATTATCAAACATAGACCCCCACCCCCAATTTGACTCAGCTTAGTACAATGCCTGGCACAAAATAAGCACTTATGCTTACTGACTTGACACTTTCATATACTCAGGTTTGTACAACATAAAGTATTATCTGTTACTATATAGCTTCATATGTTTTTCAATTATTTACACAGATGCATAAATGCTTATGCAGATTGGTTCTAAGTCAGCTCATGCTAGTTGAGGGCATAATGGGTTTCTGTTTGTGTACCCAAGTTTTTTGTATAGTATTGTTGCTGAGTCGTTTCAGTCATATGCAACTCTCCATTAGACAATTTGGGTTTTCTTCAGCTCATTTTACAGATGAGGAATCTAAGGCAAACAGCGTTATGTGACTTGTCCAGGGTCACACAGCTAGTAAATGTCTGAGGCTGGATTTGAACTCAGGTCCTCCAGACCTGCTGCTCTATCCACTGTGCCACTTAGTTGCCCTTTTTATATAATATACCTTCAATAAATGTTTACTGATGATCTGCTTCATAGACAGGATGATTTCCAAAGTCCATGGAACTTTGAACAAATTGGAGATTGGGGAGAGAAAGACCCCAAGGAAGAGAAAGAGAAAAAATTTCAAATAAACTGAAGAGAAGGAGGAAACAAGAAAAATGAGAGAACTCAGTAAGAAGGAATCAAAGGCAAGGTCAAAGGGCACTTTTTGCTGTCAAAGAGAGGGACAATGGGGAAAAAAAGGAAAAACATCTATTCAAAAGACAAGAAAAGGAGACAAAAACTTGCAAGTGATGGGGTTTATTGTTACTGCTTACTCCTATATGTGGATTTCTAATTAGGCGATTAGCCCCTGCTTTTAAAAGTCATATGGTAAAGATTATATGCAGCTTAGAGTCTTTTTATTTTCAATAAGTCAAATACACAAAGGGTTAACATACAAGGCACATTTTACCTGGCCTTCTGTTAATTGAGTTGTAACTCATCCATTTTGTTCAAATCTTCCCTTAAAATGTATCTTACAAAAAACTAGGGAGTTACCATCATAGCTCATTATTTCCACTTAAAATCCTGTCATTATTTTCATGCTTTGTACCATGCTTGACTTAAGCTATAGTGTGTCATATATTTTACAGCATCACATCAAAGGTGGAGGGAGGGAGGTTAAAATAAATAGATCAACTTCTTTCCCAATAAGGTAAACTCGTCTACAAAGGGAGGCAGAATGCGAAAAGAGGCACTGTGAAACCCAGCCTATGTAGTCTACTCAGCGGCAGCTTGCACAAATGGTGCTCCAGATGTATATCTGTTCAAATCAGCCCAAGGCAACAATTTTGATCAATTCTAATGTGATAAAATGCTGCAGGGAAAGTGTGCAGAAATGTGTTTACGTCAGCCCTTAATTAAACTGTTGTTCACTTCCAAAGAACCTTAGGAAACACTAATGAGACATGAGTTTGGGCAATTTCCTCATCAAAGCAAAGACCTTCTTCCTCTGTCTGTAGCAGCCTGTCATCCAAGGAGCTCCCTGGATAAATGTCACATGGCATGCCAATCAGCTAGCCACCTGTTAGGAGAACTTCACTGCAGTCAACTAGTGATCTAGGGCAAGTTCAAACATCCACCTTAACACCTGCCTGTCCTGGACACCTGTTCCATTTTCATAGGCAGCCCAGCAATATGTGAGCTTTTTTCAAATATGCTTAAGGTTTAAAATAGGATTCTATAATCTCCACAGGAGGCACATTCCCTATTCTAGAAAATGGGTGCATTGGTATAGCTCTTTAGATAC